TGATCTCAAAGCCAAAGGTGACACCAAAACCTACATTCATCTGGGCTGGAGAAAAGGCTCATTTATTGGTCAAGAGAACAGGCTGTGCTTGCAGAGGACCCAGGTTCAGGTCTTACCGCTGACACCATGCAGTACACCTCAAGGCCAGCCAGATGTAGTTAGCAACATCCTGTACCCACCACTGACGCCGCTGCGACCGGAGGGATGGCTCAGTCGTTAGGAGTGCCTACTGTTCTTTCAGAGGATCTGGATTTGGTTTTGGTCCCGAGTTTCCTTAATGGACTGCTCACGGTCAACTGTAATTCCAGCACCAGGAGATCCAGCATCCTCTTCTGGCATCTGAGGGCATCCGCACTCATATGTGCATGTCCCCACATAGACATACACATATACACAGGATTAAAAAAAAAATACAGCGTTCTCACTGTGTAGCTCTGGCTGACCTCGAACTCAGATCCAATTAATTGCCTTTGCCACCTATGGGCTGAGATTAAAGGCGTGTACCACGCCAGCTAAATATGTTTCTTTGTTACATGTCTTCAAAGGTTTTGTATTGTGATATGCATTATAAAATCCAGCAAAATCCCCATCAGGTAGGGAGCATGCAGATATATATTGTATGTAATGCTTTCCAAATACATTCAATTTGCAAAATGTTTTCCAGTATTTTTAAGTGAAAACATTTCTTAGTGTGTGTGTGTGTGTGTGTGTGTGTGTCTGTCTGTCTGTCTGTCTGTGTGCGTCATACTATACATGGAGTTGGTGATCTTCCACATTTACATGCGTTCCAGGGATTGAACTTAGCGGCAAATACTTTATTCTTGGAGCCTTCTCATCAGCCCAAGTATTTCTATCTTGTTCATGTAAATCTGAAAAGATTTTGACATTATAGACCTGATGAGACACCTCATTTACATTTTGCTTGTTCAGGAAGCACTTAAAAAAAAAATCTCCCTCTATCTAGTGACTTATCTTCATGTCTCACCAACGTGTGATGGTAATGCCGGCAGGAGTCACTTCTGCTTGTTGACTCTTCTATTTCCTTCTTCTTTCTTTCTCTTTCTTTCTTTCTTTCTTTTTTCTTTTTTCTTTCTTTCTTTCTCTCTCTCTCTCTCGATTTCTTTCTTTCTTTCTTTCTTTCTTTCTTTCTTTCTTTCTTTCTTT